CCGGAGTGGCTCCCCCCCCCCCCCCCCCCTTCTTTCGGAGCCTCTGTGGTTTATCGGTAACCGTGTGTGCTGCGCTTTCAGCGAGGCTTTTAGCAACAAACCAGCCGCTGGAGAGGCCTCGCGCCGGGCAGCTTAAAGCGACCACCGAGGGCAGGGCCAGCAGCTGCCCCGAGAGAGGCAATGTCGGGCGTCGGGAATGATGTCAGGAGCGATGTCGGGCGTCGGGGAGCGATGTCGAGCATCGAGAGTGATGTCGGGAGCAACATCAGGCATCAGGCGCGATGTCAGGAGCGATGTCGGGCGTCGGGAGCGATGTCGGGAGCGATGTCGGGTGTTGGGAGCGATGTCGGGCGGCAGGGCAGCGTGGGGCGCAGGGAGCTGTACCCCTCCTGCGCTGGCCGGGCCGGGGCGCGCGGCACGGAGCCCACCGCTGCAGTCAGTCCTGGCGCCAAGGCCTGGTGCTAATTCTGCTCGGCTTCTTCAGGACTCGTGATTTTTCCAAACAGCGAACGATAAAGCTCCGTCCTAGGGCAAAGAGAAAGGGGGGAAATGTTATTTTTCAAGGTTGCAGTGGAAGCAAGAGGCTGCCAGCAAACCCATCCACGCCTTAAAATGAAAAGGCCTTGAATAATTAAAAATGCATTCAACAGTCATTAATAAATACAAGCAAAGGGGAGAACTTGCCTAAGACCAATCACCCGCAGTACGGGCATATGTCAATATTTCAGTGTGCCTGGATACCATGCCTCCAGAGAACGGGGTTTTCTATACGTTTGCCCTTTCCAGACAGGCTCTTCAAGTAAGAAAACAGGATTGAATATTTTAATAGGCTGTATGAGAGCGCGGAGCCGTAAGGAGGATTCAATCAGACGGGCTACGTGGGGCCGCAATTTAGTTTTCATACATTTTCTTGGACTTGACGGTACTTGAAAAACGACGACAATGACCCAGAAACAAGACTCCAATTAATAGCACAAATGCAGCAATTCTGGTAACCAGAGCAAGTTTCCCTTTAAAAAAAAAAAATAATTAGTGGGCTGGGGTTATTTGTCTTTAATTTTAAAACCAAAGTAACCTGAGAGGGGACATGGGGGAAGGAGAGAGCGTTTTTTTTTTTTATAAATCACGCATTTCTGGAAATCGAGGAAAAAGCATCAGGAGAGCCTCCCTTTCTACAGAGGCGCTTTCTAAGGCAGCAGCCTGTTCCAAGACGACGGCACACACGGAGCGGAGAGTTGGTTACACGAAGGATGGGGTTTTTTTTCCTTCAGAGCATGCTACCACCCACCAGGGTTCTTGGAGCAACAACCAAACGATGCCACTGCCATGGGCTGGCGTCTCGCTGGTTCACTGTGTCCTGGTTTCGGCTGGGATAGCCAGGGAAAGCAGCTGCTGCAGAAGCCGGGCCAGGAAAACTGCCAGGACAGGTAGAGAAGAGAGACTTCACCACCGCTCAAGCATGAGTAAAATATGGCTTCAGAGGACGAAATTCAGAGCTGACAGCGACACCGTGATTTTTGGCTGCCTCCTCGATTCAGAGCAGAACAGGGAGCGTGCTCGCTGGGGGCTGCTTCGATGCCTTGCTCCTTCACAGATCAATACAAGACGGCGACCGGTTTGACGACTGACCGCTTCTTGCAGGCACCTGCACTGGAGAGGGCGACCTGTCCGCCTCAGGAAGGAAGGAACTCCCAAGTTTGGAACAGCAATGGCAGAAAAATGCCAGCCGTTCATCTGAGGAAGACGAGGATCGAGGTGTCCGTTCCAGCAGTGCAGAAGGCTGCACAGACCACTGAGACCAGAAACCATTCTAATTCACAGGGCCACATCTCTTAAATTAATTTTAATTTAGACGCTAATTAACCAATCAGCTGCTCTACCCTCAGAAAATGAGTCTGTGGCGAGGGATGCGGCTCCTCACCTAACAAAAATGGTCAACGCCGCGTTTTGCGTGCAAAGCTCAGCCAAGACCATGAAACCACAGCCGGGGTTCGTGTTAAACCCGGAGCACGCACGCGGGTTTCGGCAAGTTTAACACAAATGCAAGACCAGAGCCCTTCTAGGAAACAAGAACTGAGCCTTGAAAAGCTGAAAACTTTGACACCTGAAAGAAAAAAAAAGGAGGAGGGAGCAGAATGTGTTACCCAAGTTACAACATTTTCCGTCTTTCCTGCCTATTAAACAGATAAACATAACTCGCTTTTGCTGTTTCAACTGTGAGAGGAGCTGGCAAGCGGCGCGGCTGCCAACAAGGACATAGCGACTTTAAGGCGAGCGATGGGAAGGAAAACGCAGAGCGATGTGATTTAGCCCTCCGATGGTCACGGCCCTCCAGCCTTGCTTTGCGGCTCGGCTCAGACCACATCATTACACTGAGCAAACGTTTCCACTTGTGCCGCAATCTCGGTGAAATTCCCGGGCAGCGCGCGGCAGCTCCTGTCCGCAGCGGGGTTCACATGTCGGGAGCAGAGAGGGAAATGCTGAAACCGGTGTTTTGATAGAAGATCATTTCACACTCAGGTGGGCAAAGCTGACAAACGCTCGCAGCTTGCGCCTGTCAGAAGAGGCTGAGCGGCTTGGGGACTTCCAACAAAACATCACAAATTTGTTTTTTCCCCTCGCCCTGCTATTGCATCTCCTTGTCTTAAATACAGCGACTTGGTTGTGCCAAGGAAAATGATCTGAGGCAGATAAATGACGATACCAAACGCACCCACTTTGCTGGCTTCCAGCCCGCAGGCACAGCAGCAGGAGCCCCCCGAGGCCTCGGGAAGCTGACGGCGACAGGCCAGTGTCCTGGGGTGCATTCAGAGGAGCGTGGCCAGCAGGGTGAGGGAGGTTCTCCTCCCCCTCTGCTCTGCCCTGGGGAGACCCCACCTGGAGCTCTGGGTCCAGTTCTGGGCTCCCCAGTTCAAGAAAGATGAGGAACTCCTGGAGAGAGTCCAGAGGAGGGCAACAAGGATGATGGGGGGACTGGAGCATCTCCCCTACGAGGAGAGGCTGAGGAAGCTGGGCTTGTTCAGCCTGGAGAAGAGAAGGCTGAGAGGGGATCTCATCAACACCTACAAATATCTCAAGGGTGGGGGCCCAGGGGGGCTGTGGAGTCTCCTTCTCTGGAGATAGCCAACCCCTGCCTGGACGCTGTCCTGTGCCCCCTGCTCTGGGTGAGCCTGCTTGGGCAGGGGGGTGGCACTGGGTGAGCTCCTGAGGGCCCTTCCAACCCCTGCCAGTCTGGGATTCTGGGATTCTGTGACTCCAGGCTGTTCCCTCTCATGCCGGAAGAAAGCATCTTGCAAAGAAGAACCCTCCTGGCAGCCAGCAGGGTCTCAGGGCTCTCTGTTTCCATTTTCTCCTCCACCGTAGGGATGCTGCTGTTGCCCCAGCTCAGGGCTCAGAGCCCTCAGTCTGGGCAGCTCCTGCAGTTTGGTGGTTTTAATGCACGTTCTGGGCACAGGCACCGCGAGTGCCCTTCCATTCTCACAGCACACAGCTCCCGCACACGGCTTTGCCCCCATCCCTTTGTGCTTTGCTAAGGAACAACGTGGTTTCCACATGTTTCCCGCACTCTGTATGATTGTCCCACAGAGTTTGTACAGCTGACCTAACCACCGCTTCAGATCTTAGCCTTGCTGCATCGCGCGGATCTGCAGACACGGCTGCTGCTTGGGAGGCTCCACCGCTCCCACCGCAGGCGGCTCCACTGCCCTCCACCACCGTGAACTGCCCAGCGTGGGGATATTCCGTGTCCTGGCTATAAACCCACGCTCTGCTCCGGCCACTGAGCCATTTGGGCAGCACAAAAGACTGGGCTGAAGAAACCCTCTTTTGGAGGCTGTGCAAGCGCTGCTGGGGCACGAACCCACGCCCAGGCCGACCCAGTTCAGCCTGAGCACCGCACAGGCAGCAAACGGCACGCAGCTCTTCTCCCGCTCCTCCTCCTCCTCCTCCCACCCTGGTGCCAGCGAGCAACAGAAGCCGCTTTTATTTTGCCCACCAGCCTCACGCACAGGTAGAGGGCTTGGCACCTCCCGGCTCCGCGGCCTGCTTGCCAAGCACACCTCAAAGGCAGTTTGCAAAATTCCAAGGGGACTTGCTCCCAGAGATCACCTCCCTGCACAGAGGAGCTCCCGTCTGCAGTTTCTCTACATATGCCCATCTCCTCTCATACATGCATTCATTTTTTTTTTACAGTCCCCCATAACCTAAGGCCGTTCAAAGAGGATGTGCGTGCTCTGGGGAACCCCACGGAACCCAGCCAAAGGCGCCAGAGTTTCTGTGTTTTCCCCGTGAGCAGGCAAAAGCCCAAAGTAATGTTTCTTTGCATCCTGCCTTGGCCTTTCCCACTGGTGGAGAACCAGGCTCCTTAGGGTTTTGTCTTTAGTTTTTGCTTTTTAAGAGTTTTCTGATGGGTACCAGAGTGCAGGGATCAATGCTGAATTTGCTCCGATCCTACAGATTTTAAATAAACAGTCATTTTTCAAGCAAGCAGGGCCCAGGGAGACTTCAAGCAAGGATTTGTCTTCCCCAGCAGAGAAACGTTGCCGGCCCTGACAGACTCCGACATTCGCGCCCCAGGTTGCACGGGTGCAGAGAGGGGCTGAGCCCAGAGCTGCAGGCAGGCCGGCCCTGCAGCGCCGAGCCCAGCACCCCCGCAGCCCCATCCTGCCAGGCGCGACGCCGGCAGCCTCTGCTGAAGGAAGAATTGGGAGAGGAGCTGTTGGGGTAATAACACAGCGTGGGCAGACACCCTGGCAGAGAGTGACAGGAGGAGGAGGGCAATCAGGTAACCCCAGCACCCCCGAAACACAACAAATATTTCATGCTGGGGAAAAAAAACCCAACCAACCAAGCTTTTTATTTTCCCCGTCTTCTTATCATCTAGGCTACCTTTCTTCCACGGCATCTCCCCTCAGCAGGATTTAACCATGCAGAGAGTAAAACTCATCAATCCTCCAGGTTTAACCTTGTCTCTGTTTCAATTCACCAGGGTAAGTGTGGATTTTAATACTTTCAGCCCCCTTAAGGCTACGCATAATGAACTTGGATTTTTGGTTAAAAAAATATAAAATTTCTCTCCTCCACCCACATATATTAAACATCAGACTTGAGCCACTGAGTTGAAACAACCCACCCCACCCCAAGTCCGCTGCCTCCAGATGAAGGAAAGGTGACTTTAGCACAAAAAGGTACTGGTCTCCGCAATGTGCTGAGGAATAACCTACGCGAGTAATTAACAGTACTTACACCTCAGGTGGAGAGTGTGGAAGAAGCAGGTCGATACAGGGGTCTTCCTTGAATTAAAATTTAACTTACCCTTTATTGCAACCTACAAAAGCAAGTAATGAGCACTAACATTTTTATTTCTTTTAAACTGTCATTTAGGCTGTAGAGGGGATAATTACCTATTTCCACTGTAGTAAGGTTTTATCACCCTTAGTGAGGCATTTTCTAATTTAATATTTTTACTATATTATCATAAAACCTGTTTCTGGAAAAAATGATCACGAACCACACAGCCATTTGCC